CCGGCTACCTGGTGGCCAAGGTGGTGGCGGTGGACGCGGACTCGGGGCAGAACGCGTGGCTGTCCTACGAGCTGGCCAAGGCGACGGAACCGGGGCTGTTCCGCGTGGGGCTGCACAGCGGCGAGGTGCGCACGGTGCGGGCCGTGTCGGAGCGGGATGCGGCGAGGCAGAGACTCGTGGTGCTTGTGCGGGACAGTGGGCAGCCGTCGCGCTCCTCCAGCGTCACCCTCAGCCTTGCTCTGGTGGAAGGCTTTTCTGAAGCTCACCTGCAGCTTTCCCACACTTCTGCGGGCAAACCAGAGGTGGAAGAGGAGGAGAATGTACTAACCACCTACCTTATCGCTTCCTTGTGCTCTGTGTCCTCTCTCTTCCTCTTATCCATCTTCGCCTTTTGGGGTACAAAGCTCTGCAAGGATCGACTATGGGGAGGGAATTCATCTCCCTCTGCCCCTTCTTTCACTGATGGCGATTTCTCCGGTAGTTTTTTGGACGTGGCCGGCATGGGGACTCTGTCGCGGGCGTACCGCTATGAAGTGTGCTTGACCACTGGCTCGGGGAACAGCGCATTCAAGTTCCTGAGACCTGTCCTCCCCAGCCCTCCTCCTCCACAAAGCTGCGCTGAGGCTGAAGCAGGCAAGGACGAGGACTTTTTGCCCCACTCGCAACCGACTTCTGAAAGGGAAGTTAATCAGGTGAGAAGAGCATCTCCGTATGTTTAGTTCCCCTTTCCGACATGCGTACTGGAAGGCCTTAACGACTGCGTGTAGGGCTTCCTGAAAGGGTCCTGGGTTTCTTATCGTCAGTGTAAGATTAGCGACTATATTTCTTTCCAATGCTGTATTTTGCCTGCTGGGCATGAACTCTGTGCAGTTTCTTTACCTGCTTCGTATGTATTACAAATTCCTGTAACATTGCAGCAGAAGTTTCCCACATTGACCCTCACCCTAAGGTTTTCGGTGATGGAGCTGCAGTATCTATTTCATGGAAACAGTGGTTGGGCAAAGGACTGTAGGCACTGCAACTCCGTGAGATCATCGCGAAAGTCTGAGAGCTGTAAACTCCCCGCTTCGTAATGAAGAAGAAGAGTCTGATTAGTCCCAGCACAGGAAGGTCTCTTGCTAGGGGTTCGGGTGGAAATGAAAGAGGGGAAACTGACTTTTCCAGATAGGTTTTCACAGCTTCACCGATGACTTTTTTTTTCCCCTAAGTCACTGTCTTGGTTACTCAGTGTACTGATGAGTACATTCAGAGTTATCTCTGCAGCCCAGGGCAGTAAAATATGTAGTAGAGATAGTAGATGCTGTCGAGCTACTTGGTATAAACAGATAATTTATGAGTGATCTCGGTGCGCTTTGCCTACAGTCTCGGGAAGAGGGTTGTAAAACTCCCTGGTCCAATCGTTCTCTCGAACAGATTGAAAGAGAGGCGTAGTTCTCGTGCTCTGCCGCAAGACATTCTTTTCTTCCGTTTCTCTTTCCCCTTTCACTTCTCCTTCCCTTTCCCCTTTCCTGTTCCCTTTCTTTTTCCTTCACTCTTTCACTTCCACTTCCGCTTTTCCACTTAGTGTTTTTCACTTCCTTTCCCCTTTCGCTTTCTTTTCTCTTCCTTTCTCCCTTACCCTTCCTTATTTCCATTTCCCTTTCGCTTTCCTTTGCCATTTTTCATTTTTCATTTCATTTTCCCTTCCACCCTTTCCTTCCTTTCCCTTCTTTTCTCTTTCCTTCTTTTCTCTCTTTCTCTCTCTCTCTTTC